TGAGTTACATGTGATATCCATTTTAGTTAACCAGGCTATTGAAATCACTCTTTGGGTCCTGATGTGGTTTTCTGTTATTTTATCTACAGTTCTTTGTTTGTGATTCTGTTAGCACCAGTTCACAAGGAGTTCAAAGAAGGAGATAATTGATAACTGTTCAACGACTGAAACGTTGTAATAAATATGGCGACAAAGATGAGGACAATGTTCGAATAATGTAAATAGTATACATAATACCTCATCTCAGAAATATAGACAGATACTGAAAGGCCAAAACGTTGTAATAAATATGGCGACAAAGATGAGGACAATAGTCCGAATAATGTAAATAGTATACATAATAACTCATCTCAGAAATATAGACAGATACTGAAAGGCCGAAACGTTGTAATAAATATGGCGACAAAGATGAAGACTATAGTCCGAATAATGTAAATAGTATATATAATAACTCATCTCAGAAATATAGACAGATACTAACTGAAAGGTTTAAAAAAATATTTAAAGCTGTTATTTATAACCTAGATATTTTTTAATTATCTACTATAAACATTCTAAAACATTTCTACAGTATTCATAATTAATTTTATTATGGGTTCGTTTCAATATACAGGGTTGTCCGAAAGTCTTGTCACCCAATACCAAAAAGTAATGAAAACAATAGATGAACAAGTAAAAAAAGTAATGCAAAGCACATGTACTTAATTTAGTTCATTCATACAATGAGAAGATCTGTAAGAACGCCATCATTTTCGTGGAAGAACTCGTGTGAGCCATCTTTTCGAACCATCCTGTAGATATCTTTAAGAATTTTAGTTGATTATTATCTCCGTGAAAAAGTAAAGATGTATTTTCGACAAGAATTTTTCTAAACTGCGAATGAGGACAGGCATGCTATTGTAAACGTTGAGATGTTAGATGCATAATTCAAATAAAAACTCAACCTTCTAGATACGTATACCCACGCGCGCACACACACACACACACACACACATATATATATATATATATATATATATATATATATATATATATTATAAATTAATTGATTTAAAATGTTTTTCGCTACACAGTTCTAACCATGTTTCAAAAATGGAAGCTAAAAGCTTCGAATTCAATTTTGTAATTAAATTAAAAACATTACATCCTCAAGCGAATTTTGGAGTAACTTATTTTTAAAATTACTGGGTTTTTAACTTATTTTTAAATTACTGGGTTTTTTAACTTATTTTTAAATTACTATTAAATTAATATTATTATATATATATATATTATAAATTAACCGATTTAAAATATAGTTTTAGCGAAGAAACCATATTTTAAATCAGTTTATTTATAATATTTATGCTCTGTAAATTTACATTGAGCACTGTTTTGTAAAATAAAAATAAAATTATTAATCAGAACATCGGATTATATATCTTGCTGTTCTTTCTTTCTTTTCTTTCTTTATTTATATATATATATATATATATATATATATATATATATATATACTTATAAACAAATATTTATATTTATTATCTGTGCTAACGTATGTCTATTGATCGATCGAAAATCGATTGTAATCGATCGAAATAATCCCCGGAAGATTGATGGCTACCTTTCAAGAGAAAGACAAACAAGAAAATTAGTGACTTGGATCGGCCTATCAGCTCGTAACAATGGCGCTGTTCCTATGAATATTGGGTTATTGATTAAACAAGTGGAATTTATGGTTGAATGTATTCATCAGATCACTAGATGTTTGCTGTTTGGCCTGACCAATATAAAAAGCAAAAATTATCTTCAGTCTTATTCATTAGGATTCCAATTTCAAAATGGCAGTTTCCGGAACAGCGGGGAGTGACTAATAAATCGGTTCATATCAGGAACAATTTTAGCCAAAGTTGCTCACCAATGCAAGAGTTGAAATCTCCCTACTTGAACGAAGAAATAATTTCCTTGTTTATTCCTAGTCTTCTGGTCTGTGGATTTCTACAGAATTTATCATTCATAAGTCTACCATTCGTCCATTCCAGAGAGAATATGAGGAAAAAAACATTATTGAGGAGAGAGGACAATAAAAGTTTATTTATTATGAAGGCAGTAGATAGCGATTGACAGTGTATTTAACTTTTTGAATATCATAGTTGGCTGGGAAGCATGGAGCTGGAAGAGAGTTCCACAAGCGAGAGGTACGAGAAAAGTAACTGTTAGGATAGTGTAGAATATTGGTTACCTTGCCAGTGGTCTAACACACAAGTAGGCAAGTGTAGCCAAAGCTAAACTGACTTGAGTCCTTTCATGGAGAAATATATGGGTGAATAAAGACCACTCATGCAAATGTATTGGGCAGGTCCATTCTAGCAAAATGGACCAACCTAACTGGTGTATTAGGCACTCTCCTATAAAATGAGGTAAAATCAGCTGGCTTGCTTTACAAGGAAACAGAAGAAGGCAGCCATGCTGACAGGTAAGTCACTTGACTTCTACAGATAGAACTTACGGTTACATCTATCCAGTTCAACTGTAAATTGATGAGACCTAACTTCCAATCTAGTGCTGCGCTTAAATTCGTAATCTCGAGGCGCCAAAGAGAAAATCTCAGTTAAACATTTACCACGCACGTATTTATGGAAAAGGCAGAGGGAAGCTACGTTACGGCAGTGTGAAAGAGACTGAAGCCGAGATGCCAGGTCAAGACCAGTAATATTGCAGATTCTTCTTTGGAATTTTTTTTTTCAAAATAGAAGTATCTTACCAGATGTGGCAGTAATATGAAATGCATCAACGATTGGTAGACTTTTAAATGTGTAAAATATATTCTGTTGAAGAAAAATTATCTACCACGACCGAGTGAAACAACTTTCCTAGCAGCAGGCCTACGAGGGTCGGTTTAAAAGTTCTAAGCCACACCCAGAAAGCGTTGGAGAAACAAAACAGTTTTTCACCCCCACACAGAAGAAGGTGGCGTTCTGGTCCTCCACAACCTCCTCCATAGTAAATATGATCTCATCGTTGTTTCCAATATGGCAACCACGCAGGTGGGATTTGAGTTTAGGAAACAGAAAGAGTGTCAGATGGAGCTAAGTCTGGTGAGTTAGGGGGATGGAGTAAGAATTCAAAGCCACATTCAGCTACTAAAACCCGAGCAAAGTGAACGGTTATCCTGGAACAAGACCACACCTGCCCTCAGCTTCCCTCTACGTTTCGACTTGATTGCTTTCTTCAGTTGTGTTAATTCTGAAGCATAGTACTATCCCTTAAGTGTTTTTCTTTTGTCTTCACAATAAAAAAGAAACCATCACCTCCCCCAACGGACGCTGCCTGCTTGAACTTCTTTGGGGTGGAAAACCAGAGTTTCTACTGTTTGCTTTGAATCTTTGATTCGGGTTCGAAGTGGTGAACCCAGATTTCAATTTGATTTACTCATGTGCGATGGTAATTCTCAGGGTCACGCTGGAATCGAATCAGAAGTGTCCAGGAAATGTCAACCCTTTCCAACATTCATAGGACCCATCTTGCAGACAGCTTGCTCACCCCCAAGATCTCAGTTTAAACAATATGAACCGAACCAGAACTAATGCCTATGGACTTAGATGTATAATTATAATTATAATTCGGTTGGACAGTAAGACGTCTGCCATCCAAAACCATACGCTGAATGGCATCAACTTGTTCATCAGTGGATATCATGGCCGAGAGTCATCTTCTGTGCTGTCTCTGCCCATCTTAAATTCTGCAGCTCACTTCTTCATAGTTGCATTGTAATGGGAGTCCTCAGCAATTTTCTATTTATGTCCTCGTAGATTTTCTTGGATGTCATACACTTTCTTTTACAGACACTTTATGACTGCTCGGGCTTCTGTTTTCCATTTTTAAATTTGTCACACACCTCTCACCTTTGTATGGGCCTCACCTACACAGAAATTAAGACAAAAATCTGAATTAATTTTTCTAGCTTTATAAGAAACGGTAATGTTTCCACAACAGTAATGTCCAGCTATGGCTCTTCTTTGTGGGTAAGGCTTAGAACTTTTTGAAAGACCCTCGTAACAATTGATTCAATGTAATCTTTCTACTTCATGTCAGCAAAGAACAGACTAAGAAAACCCTTGATTATATTACAATGATTACACGTTCATTATTGCGTTTGTCTTGCAATGTGTCTGTCCGTCACGAGAGGTGGGTGAATACTGCCTCACGAGAGCGGATTGAAATGTTTCCTGATCCTCCAATGTAGTATGTGTACTGCCCGGACACCTAAGCGCATCGCAGACCTGTTATCGCTCTGTTTCCTGTCACCCGCCCCTCTAAGAAGTGCATGAGAAAACTGACACGGACCCGATCGCGATAAATGCCAAGCCGGCCGTTAAATAAACACACACATCGGCGCACGAGTTAGCAGGCCGGAGTCTCGTTCGTTATCGGAATCAACCAGACGGATCGCTCCACCAACTAAGAACGGCCATGCACCACAACCCACCGAATCGAGAAAGAGCTATCGATCTGTCAATTGTACTGGTGTCCGGATGGAATGAATTATCCCGTGTTGAATGATATTAAACCGATACTATATTCACTTTATTCAAAGAATGTTATAATCTCCTTTAAATATTTGAATCTATTACTTGTACGTAAGTGGAGTCGGATGGCGGATGAATCTTCTTGCAGGGTCAACAGCCATCTAGAGCGAATGGATGGACCGGGCTTCATAGCTATGTACGCATTATGGTGATACGGCGGTGCCAGGCGTGGACGGCTTCTTCGACTGAAGTCAGCGGCCAGGTTAGAGGGTTACCCCGATGGAACCAACAGCCATGTGACCGTGATCAGGATGAACCTTCAAGCTGGATTTTTTCGACTGCACTCAGTGGAGGAGAAGGATGGGTTCCGCCAGGTTTAACTGCCAAAGACATGCTACGCATGAATGTATACCTCTCCGGCGATCAACCCCCGGAATATGTAAAGGTAATTGGTCAGGTGCTCAGATGCGCGGAAAAACCCTGCGCCCACACACGGTCATAAGACTGATGATGGTGATGAAGATGATGAGAAGAAGAACCCGAAAAAGAAGAATCCAAAGAAGAATCTATGGAAGAAGAATCCGAAAAAGAAGAATATGAAGAATGCGATGAAGAAGAAGAAGAAAAGAAGAAGAAGAAGAAGAAGAAGAAGAAGAAGAAGAAGAAGAAGAAGAAGAAGAAGAAAAAGAAGAAGAAGAAGAAAAGAAGAAGAAGAAAAGAAGAAGAAGAAGAAGAAGAAGAAGAAGAAGAATCCGACGAAGAAGGATCCGATGAAGAAGAACCTGAAGAAGAAAAATATAAAGAAGAAGAATCCGAACAAGAAGATGAAGAATCTAATGTAGAAGAAGAAACTGAAGAATCCAATGAAGAAGAAAAATCTAAAGAAGAAGAACAGTAATCCGATGAATAATAATAAGAAGAATCCGATAAAGAAGAAAAAGAGTCCGATGAAGAAGAAGAAGAAGAGAAGAAGAATACGAAAAAGAAGTAAATGGATTCAATGAACAAGAAAAGAACCCAAAAGAAGAAGATTACAAAGAAGAAGAAAAAAGAAACCGAAAAAACAAGAATCTAAAGAAGAATCCGATGAAAAGCAGCAGAGGAGTCCGAGGAAGAAGAAGAATCCAAAGATCCGGACAAAATCTGAAGAAGAAGAAGAAGAAGAAGAAGAAGAAGAAGAAGAATCCGAACAACAACAACAACATGAATCTATGAAGAAGAAGAAGAAGAATCCGAAAACGAAGAAGAACGAAAAAGAATTAAATGGATTCAATAAACAAGAAAAGAAGAAGAATCCAAAGAAGAAGAAAAATCCGCAAAGGAATCCGATGAAAAGAAGAAGAAGAATATAAGAAAGGAGAAGAATCTACAGTAGGAGAAGAATCCGGTGAAGAAGGAGAAAAATCTGAAGAAGAATACGAAGAAGAAGTAAATGCATTCGATGAACAAGAACCCGAAAAACATTCCAAAGAAGAAGAAAGATCCGAAGATGAATCAGAAAAAAAAAAAGAAGAAAAAGAATTCGATGAAAAGAAGAAAAATCCGAGGAAGAAGAAGAATCCAAAATGGTTGCTACATGTATTAGGCTGAACTATAAACCATTTCTAGTTTTGTTCAACTTTATTCTTCACAAGATAAAATGCATCTTATTTGATTATACAGGGTGGTCCGAAAGTCTTGTCACCTCCTACCAAAAATGGAATGAGAAAAACAGAACACGTAATACAGTAATAAAAAGCACATATACAGGCGTTGTAGATATTCCCATGTACCACATTTTTGAGATTTCGATTTCAAGGTCCTTGTATTTTGATAATTTTTTGAAGATCTTCAAAGATACATTGCAGTCTGCAGGGACTGCCATATCAATAAGGAGACATTTTTTTGTTTTTGTCTCTAATAACAATGTCTGGGCAGTTAGCTTTGATTGTTCTGTCAGTGTATATTGTTTAGTCCCATAGAATTGTAACAAATCCTATCTCCGTAACCGGGTCTGGGTGGTGTTGATACCAGTTTCTTTCAGTTTCTTTCCCGTAGAAGTTGCAGATTTTCCAGTACATATATTGACCCAATATGTCATGCTGAGTGCAGATATTGGCCCAATCTGTCATGCCGAGTGCAGATATTGGCCCAATCTGTCATGCCGAGTGCAGATATTGACCCACTCTGTCATGCCGGGTTTTATATTCAGTGGGTGCCAATATTGTGCAACCTGATACAAGATGATCAATCGTTTCTGGATATTTATCACAGAATCTGTATTTTGGGCTAACACAATATTTTAGTATATGTGCTTGATCATTTCTAGTTAACAAGCATTGGTCCTGTGCAGCAAGGATAAAACCTTTGGTTTCAGCTTTTAACCCTGCACTACATAGCCACTGATAGGTACGGGGTTTGTCTACATCTGCTTGTTTGGTAGCCTCAGAGTATTGACCATGAAGCGGTTTATCTTGCCATTGTATCTGTATCTAGTCGGTTGCTTTTGCTTTATTTTTAAGTATTTTGAAGCTTCAGTCGTAATTGCATTATCTGCACCCCTTTGAAACTCATTTATTATTATTATTATTATTATTATTATTATTATTTCTTTTGATTTCTGGCGTTTACACATTTCTTTCCGGGTCCCACCCAGAGACCTAAGGTTAGAAAGGGCATCATGACACTCTCCACTGAAAAAAAAAAAATTTTAAATAAAAAAAGATAAAAATATTTTATATAGATAAAGCCCTCCGTAAAGTGTGGGTTGTACTTGTGAGAAAAAATTTTTCGTATTTCTTTGAGGCATGGACTTCCAGGAATCCCTTCAATTAATCTACTGGAACCTTTTCAATCAATCCGAGGGCTCCAACTACGAGGAGTGTTGATGTTCCCATGTGCCACATTTTCGAGATTTCGATTTCAAAGTCCTTGTATTTTTACAACTTTTTGAATATCTTCAAAGATACATTGCAGTCAGCAGGGACTGCCATATCAATAAAGAGGCACTTTTTTTGTTTGTGGTCTTTAATAACAATGTTCATTGGTTGGTTTTGATTGTTCTGTCAGTGTAATGTTAGTCCCACAGAATTGTAACAGGTCTATAATTATAATTATTATTATTATCGTTATTATTATTTTTATTTACATTATCGCTAATATTGTTTTGTCGACTTTTACAAACTCTGTGTTTCGTTCAAGTAAAATTAACTGTACTTGTTACCCCTTACCTGTTTACACTTCTCCCCAAAAATTGATTCGTCCTGGGTATGACGATAAACTTCATATGGCAGCATGGCCTCTGATCAGTAGGTTTTGAGGAGCGTGGAACCAACTCTTAATTACTGTTGTTCCTAAGTCCACTGTGACCCGGTTAGGTAGCACCTGTTAGGGTCCAAGTATTGACAAACAGTTAACCCTAAACTGGGGTCAAAACACTATGAAAGTATAAAAATAGATTTTTATAGTAAAATACCAGCAATATATTTTTAACAAAACTACCAGCAACACATTTTTAAAAAAATATTAACAACAATATATTTGACTCTCGATAAAAACCCTCTTTACAAGTCAATAAAACCTGATATAAAAACTAATTTCTTATAAAGAAAACATAATCTATTCGTACGAACATATCCTAAAAATCTTGTCAGTATTAAATAACCCATTGAGGTAACGATATGCCGTAAAAAAAAAAAAAATAACGTCAATGAAACCTTGTCTACAAACTGATTTCTTATAAAGAATATATATTCTATTCATACGAACCTATCCTAGAATCTTGTCAGTATTAAATTTTTGTCGATATTAAAAAAAAAATAAAATAAACCAAAACCAAAAATCCGTCACTGAAACCTGATTTACAAACTGATTTTTTATATTCTCTTCATATGAATCTATAAAAAAATTTTATTGGCATTAAATAACCCATTGAGGTGTCGATATCCGTAAAACAAAATTAACCAAATAAACCAAACCAAAATTTGCTTTGGGATCAGTCAATGTATAGTTATTTTTTAAATTTAAAATGATTTTGACAGACAAAAAGTAGACCCAACAGAATTTTATATATAGATATATTTACATTCCCTTTGACGAAATAAGGATTTCAGAGAACAAAGATAGATTGTTTATTTAAAAAAAAAGTTTCTTTCGACCGTTTTGGATTATGGAATCAGTGTGAACGATCCTTTATACTTAGGGATTTACTGTATGCTTTTAAGGGGATAACATGGATTAAATATCTTTATTTATGGGGTTTAAGGGAATATTATTTTTTTTAACAGATTAAACATCAGAAATTTTCTTATCTTCATCAGACTAACTGATGATTAACCCCAGGGATTGACGTTTGTGCATTCTATGGGTAACATTTTCAGCTGAGATTTAATGAAAAGAGTGCATTGAATCAACTCCTAAGTCTGCAGCTAAGAAAGTTAGTTGTCTTGCGATGCGAGACAATTTTCTTGCCTGAATCTAGCTTACATATTTATAAGTCTTTCATTCGTCCATGATTTGAATATTGCTGCTAGATATTGTCTAATTTACACCTGCTGTATACTTGCAGATAATTGATAAAATCCAAAGAAGAATCTGCAATGTTATTGGTCCTGACCTGGCATCTCGGATTCAGTCACTGAAAAATACCGCCATAATTTATTTTTATGGTAATTGTTCTGATGAACTTTCCTCTATAGTACCTAGACTTTATGGATCTAAGCGCCTTTACTAGATTGGCAACTAGTTTTCATCATTTTACAGTTGAAATGGCGAGCTGTAACCGTAAGTTCTATGCTAACAGGTTCTTCTACTGCTCGTCTCTCTTGTGGAACTCTCTTCCAGCTTCTTGCTTCCTAGTCAACATTGATCTTCAAAAATTGAAATGCAATGTCAATCGTTATCTTCTGTCTTCTTAATTCATGTCAATAGCACTTTTTATTGTATTCTTTAACATTCTGTAAACTCTCCTATAAATACTTTCATGGTAATAGATCGATATACGCCTGAAGAACGTTAAAAAATGTTTGTTGAAACCGTAAATAAAATAACAAGATGAGGACAACAGTCCGAATATAAATAGTGTAAATAATATCTCCTCATCCGAGAAATTCAAACAAAAATTTGATGCTTGATTGGTCACTGTGGATATTGTTATATTTATTATTAAATCGGTTAAGGGTCTTCAGCTTGTAAACGCCACTTCACCCGTCTTTCCTGTTACCTGAGGGTTGCGGCCATGGGAGTAAACATGTAAGCTACGTAGAATCAGAACAGGGTTAAATATAACGTTGAGCTAAATGGGTGACCGTTTGGGAATATGTTAAATATGCTGAAAGCTTGAATGTGCGGGCGGTGGATTTTGAATAAAAAATATTGATAATGTAATCGGTTGCAATTGAGTTCAAATTCCAGTCAAGATTTTTTTTTTTTTACATTCACTTACACGTAAAATAGTTCTTTTGAAAATTTTCTTTTTTAAATTCTTTTTTTTTATTTTGAGGCAATTTCTTCACAAACGAAACTGAAATCAGTTCGGCAAGTGAATAAAACTCCAAAATAGTGTGTAATTTACACACCAACAACATACTAGTGGTAGAATTACGAATAATTAAAAAAACAAATCAGTAACAACGGAAAATGCAACACAGATATCCCTAGGCGCATTAAAAATAATAAAATCGGCTTCCAGAAACAACGTCTACAAAGATAAGAAAATCACGTTGAAAACAAATATTGAATAGGTGACTAGCAATAATAAGAAAGGCAAAAGATGTCTCTCAAAATATAAGCACAGTAATGAAAAACAGGAAAATTTCGTTAGAAACAAAGAAAAATAAAAGTATGAATAGATTCTGACTAGCTCAACAAGTTTCTAAAAATATATTTACCCGGTTTAACAGCAAAATTGCCCAAATCATGTAAACCCCGTGGATAATTGTCCATCCCACAAAATTTTTAATATCTAAAATAAAAACACTAAAATATTGAATTTTTTTTTCCCAGGTTTAGACGTTAAGTCATGTTGACACCATTTGTCGTAATAATCACAAAAAAAAAAATTATTCAGCTAGAAAGAGAACAGGTTGAACTCTATTTTTAAGATGTCTTCTCAACTGAGCAATGGTAAGAGGAAAAATGATCATTCATACTCTTTTTTTTCTTCTTCAAAGTTCGTGCAAGAACCATCATGGGAACGGTAAATAAGTGTAAAATTAACGGAACAGTAGAAAGGAAAACTGGATCAGGAGGTGATAACAGCAGGAGAGATCACCCTTTCAACTTAGAGCTAAATGCATTCTTATTGTTCAAAGTAGAGTGCAATAGTTTTATATAAAAAAAAAACGCAAAGAATTCCAGTAAGATATATTTAATCGTTTCTAAGATACAACGGTTCAAATCTTAATCTAACAATTGGACAATTTTGCTGTTACACGATTTGGACAATTTTGCTGTTACACTCGGTATATATCTAAATTGAACGAAATAAGGACTTAAAAAAACAAAGGTAAACAATCTATCGTGTGCTTTATAAGGGGGTTCGAATGCTGCAATCCACCAAGAAAAATTTTGAAATTTTGACAAAATGTAAGGTA